AGGAATGTTTACTGTTCCCCTCAAGCTCACGGCTGGCTTGAGTCTGTTAAATCATATGTCAACGCCTCGGACCTCTGCGTCCGGTATTACTCTTTTCTCACAAATAAGTGTCTCTCAAAATGATCCTCTGATCATAACCTATTTTAAAACCAAGGTCCCAAGTCTTGGTAGATGGTCAATCTCCAGTACGGCCACGCCGGGCCACCTACTGGACGTCTCCAGTAGGGAGGGGGTCTGCACCCCTGAACTTGACACTTTTAAACCTTAAACTGACCAATAACTCTTATATTCTCTTATTCTTTAATCACACACTGGTCTCTTTTCTCTCTTATTTCCTTAAAACAACATCTCGAGTTACTTTTACGCGGTTCCCAGAAATCCGAAGATGCATATCACAGCAAGGTCTCTCTGTGTCCACACAACGAGGTCACAGTGGTTGGCGCCGGTAACAAAGATTTGTGTTTGTACCTGACAGTAGTATGGGTGCGCCCGCTTCAACTGAAGACCATTAGCAGCTACCTCCAAGCAAAAGTCTTTGTCCTGTGCAGCCAATGCCTCCTTAATGCTGGCCGTTCGTTGTTTAAAAGGACACTTTATCTCCAGACACCCCTTACCACAACAGTCACATATTGTGAGTCCGTCTGGAGATGCTCCGACTTCCGGAAAATTGGTGTTCACACAGAAACCACATAACCGAACCTGCAGATTGTGGTGATGCGATGCCATTATCTCGTTGTAGGCCTTTCTTGCGTCCTTTTCATGCTCGACACCCCACCTTGTTTGCACAGTAGAAAAGGTCCTTTCTGGGTAACACACACAATTCACAACACTATGGGCTGGAGTGTCCAAACTTGTAGCAAAACAGCATGCATAGCCGAAGCTGTGATTCTCCCTGCACGCCAGCGAAACCATGCAGGGGTCATGTGCTGCGATCTAGTCTGTGCTTCAATTTCTTCAATGTGGGTGACTGTGTAGTGTAGTTGGTGTAATAGTTTTCTATTCCACACAAACTCACTGCTTTGCTGTGGTCCTGCAGTGTATCCAGTAATGCTGAAAAATCCTCCAGCATTGCAATAGGAATCTGCCTTTTTTGCGATCGCCTCCTTTTGCCTCTCGATGCAGAGGGTGTGTTTATGATTTCATCAAGACCAAGTTTTTGGGCAGCTGCTGAGGAGAAGTCAATGTTATGTGCAACCTCCGGCTGTATCTTGGTCATATTTCCGGGCAATACCCAATATGCAGGCTCGTCTGTTACAGTTCTGGTGCCTCTGATACGCACTGTAGACTCGACTTTAAACAAAAGAGCAGCGACATGGGTGCAGGTCTCTGCAACTCCGGCGATGCATGTGCAGTGAGCAGCCTCAACCCTCCCATTGGTGCTCACAATGACCCATGGCTGTAATGCAGTTTCATTCAGTCGTTGTGAGTGCAGTACCTGAAACACACAAAAGCCACTTTTAATAAAAGGTCT